CGCTAGAACTGCTGCAACACAGATCCAGGGTCTGGACCACGCCCCCAAAGCTGCAGATCTTAACTGAAACCAGCTCAGCAAGATACCCAGCCCCACGGATCTAAACCCCAGTAAAATCTCGCACTCTGCATAAAGTTTCATACAGAGTGAGCTCATATTGTTCGCCCTCTTTATCAGTGAAAGAGCGATATGCACAGCTGTCAGCCCCCCCCCCCCCGTAAAGATTATTTACACTGAGTTTATTAATAAACAAAAATGATTTTATTAAGAATAAAATGTAGGATTTAAGTGGTTTAAGTAATGACAGAGCCAAGTAAGTTACTAAGCAAAATAAAACAAAACATGCCAGCTAAGCTTAATACACTAAAGAAACTTGTTACAAATAATCATTTCTTACCCCCAGGTTCTTTTAAGCAGCTTCTTTCCCAGACTGGAAGCCTCACAGTCTTGGGCCCATCCTTCTTGATGTTCAGTTTCAGTTGTTTGCAGCAGATGTCTTAGATGGTAAACAGGGGTGTTCTCAGGACTGGTGGCCCCTATTGTTTGGCTTCTCACATTTATATAGCTTTTGCCCAAGGTGGGAATCCTTTGTCTTTTAGTTTAAACTTTTCCCCTCCTGCTTGTGGAAAAACCCAGCATCCAAGATGGATTCCTTCATCAGGTGACCTAAACACATGTCCTTGTGGGGACTCCCAGCCCCCTCCTTTGAACTGGAATACTGGAAGAACAAGTTCATTCACAGTCCATTGTCTCTTGCTGCGATCATTAAGTTTCTGAAGCACCCTTAATGGCCCTCACTTAGCATGTCTATATCAGTAAAAACAGGCTTATACTTCATATTTCTAACTTCTAATACAGGAATGATACATGTACAAAAATACAATATACACATCCAGCAGATTATAACCTTTCTAATGATATATTACATGGGGTATTTTGCACAAAGCATATTCCAGTTATGTCATGTTCATGTTCATAAGCACATTTTCATGAAGCATATGGAGTGCTCCGTGACATGTACATGTACAGAGTCATACATAGAGTTCATAATGATGTTACTAAATATTCCTACTGTCATCACTCCCTCCTGCCCCACTAAAAGGTGACAGGGCTAAATGAACCCCGCCATTTAACACTCAGACACCCAGTAATGGCTTCCCGGTGGAAACTGCTCCCCTTCCCCAGGCATTGCCCAGCTCTGTCTCTGCAGTGACCCAGGCTCTGTGATAAAAGCAGAGTCACTTCCTTTGCCCCAAGACCATGCTGTGTCTCAGATCCACCTCCGTTCTCGGCCTGTCTCTGTCTGTGCAGAGGAATGGATCTGAGCAGGGCGAGCCTGCATTAGTCAAAGACAGAGAGCAGGATGCTGCCGTGATAAAGGGTATGTCTACACTACGGGATTAATCCGAATTTATATAATTCGAATTTGGGAAACAGATTGTATAAAGTCGAATGTATGCGGCCACACTAAGCACATTAATTCGGCGGTGTGCGTCCAAGTACCGGGGCTAGCGTCGATTTCTGGAGCGTTGCACTGTGGGTAGCTATCCCATAGCTATCCCATAGTTCCCGCAGTCTCCCGCGCCCATTGGAATTCTGGGTTGAGATCCCAGTGCCTGATGGGACAAAAAACATTGTCACAGGTGGTTCTGGGTACAGCCTCACCCCTCCCTCCCTCCCTGCATGAAAGCAACGGACGGGTGGATTCCATGATATCTGCAAACATCTCGTCTCGCGTCTTCTTTTTCCGACGACTTATCTGTGATAGCCTTTGGGACGGAGGAGGGAGGCTTGAAGAATTTGCAGCTGCTGTAGGGAGGGGAAAAAAGAGAGAATTTTTTAAAAAGATACATTTTGCAGAACAATGATTATACTCTTTCACGGTGACCAACACTATTCACATTACATAGCACATGTGATTTCTGTGCAAGGTCGCATTTTGCCTCTTAATACTGAGTGCCTGTGGCTTTGCTGCTAGAGATCACAGGTCCGGGCAACAGAATTCGGCTTGCATGCAGCCATGGTAAGCCATTGTCTTTCAGCTTCTGCGCCCTCCTTTCCCACATACCAAGCAAAGCCCGTTGAGTGCTGCGGTTTTCCTGTTAACATTCAGCAGCAGCAGAAAACAAACTAACCCCCACCCCCATCCAATTCTCTGGATGATCGCTTTATCCCTCCCCCCACCGCATGGCTGGTATCAGGGAAGATTCCTGCAGGAACCAAACTAACCCCCCCGCCTCCCTCCCGTCATGAATTCTCTGGGATGATCGCTCGTACCCCCCCCCACCGCGTGGCTGGTAACAGGGAAGTGGTGG